GCAGAACCAGGCTCAGGGAGGGGCGGGGCCAGCTGGGGTGAAAGAAGGAAGACAGGATAAAGACATGCTGTGGAAGAGAGACAGAGGTTAATAACAGATATGACTCAATACAGAGAGGTCTATTAACACATAGTGAGTGAGAAAGGTGACTGGAAAGGAAAAACTCAATGCATCTAGAACTAGAACCTCATTCACACTCATCATTTTTTATTATTATTTATTAAAATAATCTTAAAATAATTTTTATTATTATTGTTTTCCTAAATGCAAACTCATCATGTCTTGCTCCAAAAGCAAGTTCCTGAATGTACTAGAAGTTATGTGGATCTCTGCTCACTAGAGGGCAGTATATGACTTTCAGTTAATTTCTCTATGTGAGCTCTTCACTCTCCTTAAGAATAAGAGTCTTAGCAGCAATCATTGCACTATAACAGGCAGGGTAATTTAGATCTTACTCTTATCTTTGAATAAAGCCTTTCATTGCTTTAGGTAAACACCTGGGACATTTTCCTTAGGTGTAAATTATGTACACAGGGCAGTTTGACCCACATGGTACATTGTGCAAAGCTGAGTGCCTTTTGCGTAACCTTTCGTGCAAAAGAGAACAAATTTATTTTTGTTATATTACTTATGTCATCAATGTGATCTGAAGAGGTTGATGAGCTCTGAGTCACACGGTGTCAAGGAAGTAAATTGACGCAGAGTGGTTACTTTGACAGGATGTGGCTGTGTGTGAAGATGGGGACAGTCATTCAGTTATTTCTTCACACCTTGAGCACAGAAAGGAAAAACAAGTTTCTGCAGTCTTTTTAAAATCATATTACAAACTCCAATGCAATTTAACCCATTGCATATAGATCTGTTTATTTTAACACATACATAAATCTGTGATTATAATCCATTATGTGATATATATAAAGTGGTCGGTTTGTTTTTCCCACAAAACAAATTAGCTATGTTTAGGATTTTCATCTGTGATATGGAATTAGTTTTTATTTGGATGGCAAAGAAGCCTGTTAAAAACATTCATGGCCTGCTCAGTAACTAAAGTATCCTAAAACAAGCCCATGGCTTCATCCTTCCTCCAACATGCTTGACAGTAGATATGAGGTGTTTGTGCTCACTGTGCAATATGGCCAGAAATTTGAAGAACAATCATTCATGTTTGTGTGCAGCAGTTCCAGTGTTGCAATGCTCTGTGAGTTTGGTGGTAGGCCATTAGCATAGGACATTAGTATAGTCATTAGAAGCAGCAGTAATTAGCAAAATTAGCTTCTGCCACCTGAACTGTAATATAAATGTCTCAGTTTTGTCCCCTTTAGATTTGATGGAATCCTCAATTCCTATTGGTTCACCTTTTCAAACTAAGCCATCTGTTTTCTGTTTGTATAAATATCCTCCTACTACTATATATAGGCACATTTAGGGCCTTTAAAAGTTGTTGTTTCTTTGACTGCTACTATCCAACCTGTTTTTATCTGTTGTGTGTTCATTTTATTTTGACTTTGCAGTGATACTCTGCATTGATTGGTTGCTTACACAACTCTTCAGTGTGAAGGGCTCCAAAAACCATCATTTTTAAAAACTCACTTTGTATTTGCAGCAGAACAACAGCACAAACTAGAGTAGCCCAAAGACAGGCCGTACCACATATTTTTAACCCCAGGTGACGATAAATAGCTACAACATGGAGAGTTACAAAACTGTGTTTGTATTCTGCATATGTTGTATGTGCACATGTTTATGACTTTTTGCACAAGTCTATGGATTTCAAGTGTTTTTTTCTGAGAAAAACATGACAATAATTTAATGACTGTATCCTTTAAGGCGTTGTTAATTGTCAAATATGAGCCACAGTATTATTGTTTTTTCTCAGTAATGACAGCTCCTCATGTCTGGTCTGGTTTCAAAACACAAAGATGGTGATAACCAAAATCCTGAAGCTGAGGTTTCAGAAAGGGAATTCACAATCAGATGAGTTCGCATT